ACGTGAATGCTCCCTAAGCAGCTGCAGGTGAAGCTGGGGGGGCACTTTGCCTCCACTCACCCACCCAAGGGGGTCAGCGTGAGCTCCCACCCAACCTTAGGGTGGGGATGGGGGCAGCATCCCTGCTGCAGGCAGAGGGGGCAGGGGGATTTGCTCACAGGGATGTCCAGGCAGAAGAGCCGGGCTCAGCAAGCGACGTCTCGCTCATGGTATGGGGGGGCTTGTGAGAGCCCTGACAGCATCCAGGGACCCAAGCCTCGCTACAAGAGTCCCACCGCACTCTGCAGAGCAGCAAGAGCAGCCAGCGCACTGGCTGGCACCACCCCTTGCTGCCCCCCCTCCGCGCCTGCTCCTGGCAGGGGAGGTCAAGGGCACAGCTCCCCCAAGGCAGGATTGGGGAGCAGGGGGTCCCGCATGGCCTCAGTGCTCCTGTGTCCCTCTTGGGGTCTCTGGAGCAGGGAGGGGAATGGGCAGAGGGAGCTTGAGCCCAGGCAGTGCTGACCCACAGCCCTCCCTCTGCAACCCTGGTGGGGTCTTCAAAGGGCAGCCCACTGTAGAAACCTAATTTGGGTGCTCAGCATCATCCCTGGCAGGGTCCAAGTCCCCTTGCAGAGGGAGCCAAGGACACCTGCTCGTTTTTGCTTAACCTCATGGGCAAGCACGGCTCCAGGGGCTTTTAAACAAGATGGGGAGAAGACAAGCGATGTTCAGCAGAGCCAGTGCCACCGGGGCACCACCCCACGTTGTGCAGGTGTCTGAGCAGTGCCCCAAAAATCCTTGGTAGGAAGCAGAGTAGTCTGGGTTTAGGGTGTTGTTGAATCTCTTGAAGCTTTTATTTTCCCACTTTATTCCTAAAATCTTCCCAGATTTTGTCCCTAAGCCCAGCTGGCTTTGAGAAGGCAGAGCAAAGGTGGGGCTGAGCCGTGCTGTGGCGCCCTGGTGGATCCCAAGGAGGAGGTTTGTGCCGGAGTCCTGGGAAACCGGCTCCTGAGAGCCATAGTGGGACCTTTCAGGAGGGGGTGCTTCCCATCAGCTCGCGCAGAGGCTCTGGGAAGGGGCAGGGGGTGAGGTGCCGAACGTGCTTTGGGCATTGGCTCCAACCAAAGCCTTCCAGCAGCACCATCTGGATGCGGGGCAGACGTCGGGCTGTGCCAAGGCGTTCCCAGGGCTTTGGGTGCATCCTGTCAGAGGTTTGTCCCAAGGTAACTGGGTCTGCTTGATAAACACCTCGCGGCTTCTCTGATCGACAAGCTTTTGGGTTTCCGGTGTGCACGAGCACAAGGTGAACTTTCGGTGGATATTTTCTGCTACAGGCGGTTCTGCAAGCGCGTGCGTGAGTCAATTCACCCACCCCTGACACCAGAGGAACCGCTCACACGAGTCTGGTCGCTCATGTGTGCACGAGCACTCGCAGGACGCTGCTGTCCCTCCCCATGCCCGGGATCACTGGCGCTGCCCTGTCCCTTGCTGGGCTCTCCGCAGGGATCCTGACAGCTGACCTCGGCCGAAGCCGGCCCTCCCGGTGCATGGTTAGAGCAAACGGCACTGGAAATCGAGCTCTCCAACTCCAGGATTAAGACATAACTTTTAAATAGCTCATTTGATATCTTTGCTGCTTTATTTGTTTAATAAAAGCACTTAGTTAGCCGGAGTCCCAGGCTCCTGGGGCTTTCGTTGCTCTGCAGAGGAGATAAGAAAAGCGCATTTCCTTATCCAGTGAGTCATTTTTTCTGCTCTTTAATTATGCATTTGTGCTATTATCAAGCGTATTCAGCTCTTAGATGCAAACAGTTCAAACTACTCACCAAGCTTTAACTTTTGCTGCTCCAAAAATGATCAACAGCCGTTAACGAAGGGCAAGGGAGGCAAAGATGAAGAGGGGGATGGCTGATGCCCGGAGCCGGCCGGGCAGCCTGGGCCATGCTGGTGAGCAGGCACACGTGCGAGTGTCGCTGGGGAAGTCAGCGGTGATTTTCTCCATGAGTAAGCGTTATCATGTGTGAATTCAAACATTGTTTTCTTGGCCCAGGAGGGAGCAGATGGGCCAGGAAGGGTGCGTGAAGGAGCTGTAGAGGGGGATAAAGAGGGCTTGGAAAATGGGAGGGAATAGGGTAAGATCAATCGCGGTGATGAAGCTGCAACATCCTTCCACGCAATGGGACCTGGGAGCACTTTATTTGCAGGAGGCCATCATGGTTTCCCGTCCCCAGGCTCCCCGCCACGCATTCGCAGCTTCGGGTTTTCACTCCAGGTACCAAAACAGGAGCAAACCTCACCCTCGGTGCCAAAAGCGACATGCAGGTACCTCGTTTTGGGCTTTCTGTGGTGTGTATATTTGACCGGCGGGGTCACAGAGTTAATCTGTAAGCGTGGTACAGGAGATGCCAGGCCCCTGCATTAAAGCCGAGGAGGGAAGGGTGAGGGGAGGGAGAGGGGCAGGGTGACAGTGCTGCAGCAGGACCCACGGGAACAGGGGCTGGAGGTCGCTGAGAGACAACCGAGGCAGGGGAAGCGCAGCATGGGGATTTCGGGGGGGGAAGGCCAAGAGGGGGATGATGGACGAGCATCCCCCTTTGGGAAAAGGAGACCAGCAGGTGGGAACAGCCCAGGGCAAGAGGAACAGCAAAGCCTTTGGAGCAGGGATCTGTTTCAGGGGCAGGTGCACTGACAGAGCACTGGCTGGTTTGTGGGGGCTCTCTGCCTCCGTGCACAGCTCCAGCCCCACCAGCCCACCAAGACAAAATGTTTTCTACTCCCTATTCCTTACCCTTATGCTTCTGTGAGCTGCCTGCCAGGGACAGCAAGCGCTCTGGGTGCCCTCTCCTCCCCAGGGCTCTCTGCTGTGGAGCTCGGATGTGGCCTGGAGTGAGCCTGAACTTTTCTCCTGACCTCTCAGCCCTCCCTGCTGTGGCTTTCTGACCCTCTGGAGATGCTCCCGGGGCACCCTGCTGCTGGATGCACACCCAGCCTGCTCCTGTGCTTGCACCACAGCCCCGCTCCTTGCCCGGGGTGCACAAGAGGCAAGGAGCCGGTTGAGGTGGGATACAGAGAGACGTCCTCCCCCGGCAGGTACCCGTGCAGGGGCAAGTGCAGCCTGTTCAGGGCAAGCATCGAGGCAGAGGGTGCCAAGCTGGCCATGCCGCTCGTGGCTTCAGAGCTCAGTGCTGTGCTGAGAGAGGGAAGTGCTCGGCGTGCCCCCGCTCACTCGGGGAGTTTTACTTTGACTAAGAAGGAGGGGGAATAACTGAATCACAGGTGCGGGAATGGTGGCCGGGCTCTCACAGCTCCTCGCAGGAGCCCGCAGCCCCCGGCGGCTGGGCACGCCGGCTGGAAAGGGAAGTGAAATCGCAGCAGGCGTGGAGCCGGCGGGCAGCGACCGGTTTTGGTTGGGACTTTCACTCGCCCGGAGCCCCGCAGTGCCCGGCTGGGAGGGCTGAGACGGTGCTGGGGCTGCTTCAGCACCACCCTGGTGCAAGCCACCCTCTGGGGATGCTGCTGGCAGGAGGGAGATGTGGCTGGGGGGCGGCTCCTGCCTGGCGGGGCATGGCGTGCTGGAGACCCGTGCTTGGGCTGCGACCCAGTGTGGAGAGCTGGTGCCCGTGCCCCACACGGGTCTTCAGGGTGTGGGGTGCAGAGGCTATGGGCTCAGCTTGCCCCAAAGCCATTGGAGAGGGGCAGGCACATGCAGGGACCAAGTCCTCTGGCCTGTCTCAGAGGAGCTGGGTTGCCCAGTGGGGATGCCTGGTACTCTGCCACCTCGAGCCAGAGCGTCCTTTGGCTTTTCTCCTCCTCCCCTCCCAGCCTCAGTCCAGGACAACACGTGGCAGAGACCAAGAGCCCAGAGGCTGTGGCTGCAGCAAGGATGGGACTCCAGAAGTGAAGCCCCATTAGGGCTCTCCCAGCCAGGACAGGTCTCCTGCGCTGCTTCCTTCAGCTGAGAGGAAGCCAGCAACTGCAGCTGGTCCCTTTCTTTCCTACAGGATGACGAAAAAGGGGACATGACTTTTGTCTGGTAAGGATGGAGAAGAGCCACCTGCAGCACTGAAATCCATCACTTATCCGCTTCAGATCTCAAGCATCGGGCTTGCACGTGTGGGTACCAGTGGCAGGACATTTCTCCTGCTCCTGATCAGGAATACCTATGACCATTAAGGATCTATTTAGTCCTTTCCAAGGGTATGGGGACCAGACTTACTTGGGGTCACCCACTTTGCCCATGCCCATGCCCTGGGAAGTTACTGAGCAGAGCCAGATCTGAATCCTGGAGAATGAGACATAGTGCCAAGGGGCTGGGAGGGTCCTTGCCATGGGTCTAGATCTGGGATGGAGAGGATGGAGAGAGCAAGGTGATGGAGAGAACCATCACTAGTAGGGATGGAGAACGTACACCAGTTGGCCTGCCTGCGCGGCGATCATTGACAGGCCCTGTTCTGGGGGCAGTGGGAGTTTTGGAAATGGGAAACCTCAGTGCCCCTGCCCTCTTTTCTCCTCCAGTCCTTTTCTGCATTTTCCATCCAGGCCGGACCCATGGCCCTGGGATGGGGTCTTGTAAAGATCTGGGCACAGGAAAGCCTCCTGTAGGCACTGGAGGATGCTCAAGGGACTTTTTGCTGGCCAGAAAGGGAGGGTGCGGGCTGGGGGCCATGCCTAGGCTGGGGGCAATGTATGGGTGGGCTGGGGAAGAGCTGAGGAGGTGACACCGTGGGGCTGGGTCACCGTGCTGCTGGGCATGGGGTGCTGCGTGGCTGGGGTATGCCACGGGCTGCGGGGATTTCGGAAGCGTATTTTGGAGGAGAAGGGTAGTTTGAGGGTGCATTGCACGGGCAGGCAGGGGTAGGGCTTGGGCGCTCGCTCTCCTCCTCCCCGGTGAAGATCCGCCCCGGGGCAAGCACAGCGATCCCCAAGGGAGACGACGCAGCTTGACAGACTGTATCTCCCTCCGACACGGGGCCCCAGGGCGCTGCGTTTTCACACTCGGGTGGCCCCTTCGCCACCACGCCATGCGGGAGCCGGGCTCTCACTCCCACTCCGCCATGTCCTTGTCAGGAAAAGCTGCCGCTGCCTCCTCCTGCCTCTCCTCCCAGTGCTTCGACCTCCTGACCAGGTCCTGCGTCAAGTGCTCCGACTTGTTCAAGGACAACACAAGTAAGGGGATGAGGGTGGCCGGGGACAGAGCTCGCTGGGGCTGGGTGGTGGTGGGCCAAGGGGTCTGGGGGCACCCCGGGTGTGGGCAGGTGGAGGGGACCTTCTCCTGCGGATGGCAATGGGGGTGGTGATGAAGGATGGAGCGCTGCCTTCACCTGAAGGAGGAGGAGGAGGAGGGAGGAAGAGGACAGCCAGTTCCAGTGAGGGGAATGTGGTGCGGGGAGAAGAGGGATGGTCCAGCCTGGTACGGGGGTCACAGCCTGCCCCAGAGGTGACCATGGGAAGAACAGGATGCCCTCATCTCACACCAGCCAGGAACAGCAGTGGGTGGGACGAGGGTCCCATCAGGCAGGGGGACGGCTCGTTGTGGGTGGTGGGTGGGTAGCGGTGAAGCCCCCCCCCCTGACACTGCCGGCGTCTCGCCCCACAACAGAGCCCACCCGCCCAGCGCCCACCTCCGCCCCAGCGCCCACCCTCCCCTCAGTGGACCTGCCCAGCACCCTCCTGATCTTCGGGGTCCCGGCAGTGGTGGGGGTCATCCTGGCTCTGGCTGCCCTCTGGGGCTTCCTGGCCTGCAAGGTGGGGAAGCGGAGGAGGAAGAGGAAGGCAGCGGACGAGGAGGCCGAAGGTAGGGGACCTCTTGTTCTCCCTGTCACAGCACCCTGAGGACCCCGGGGCCGATGGGATCACTTGCCGCCGGCTCTCCTGAGGCACGCCCCTGTTGAGGCTGGCTCCTTCACCTCAACATGGGCTCCGCGGGCACCCTGGGGCATTTTGGGGCAGCTGAGCCACCCCCTGAGTGACGGTGT